GTTTAATTTTCATAAAGATGTCCATTATTTTGCTTATAAGTATCAAGGAGTTAGAAAATACTATTATGTATGTGATTTCTCCATCACAAGAAATTGAAAATAGTTTTAAAAAAGTTTAATCATTCGGCATGTCTCATTTTTGGGTGAAAATCTCAAATTGATCATCTTCTTTTTCGACATCTTAAATGAGTCTTTATTTTGTGAAAATTGCAACCATTAGATTTCTATTGAGCCCAACGGTGTTAATTTATGGTTGATGTGGCATGTTGATCTTCATTTTTAAATGACATGCTCATGTTATTTACTAATAGGAAAATGTGACATGGACATTTACTTTTTTTAAATTAAAAGAATTGGAAAACGTTAATTACATAGACTTGGAAATCAAGAGAAATTGGAATTTTGGTTTTAGGGTTCATTCGGATATCGCGATTTGGTTTTATTTTGATGCAGAAATTTGGTTTTATTTTGTGGAGGAGATCGCGATAAAGGATTTCGCGATTTTAGGGTTTCTGTTTTGCGCAAATTTAGAGGTTTTTCCTGTTTCTTATTTGGGATTCTCTTTCTCTACAAGTTGCAATTATTGTTTGAAAGGAAAAATTGAGGGTTGCGGTTGTGGTTTGAATGCTTGCGAGAAAGGTGGTCGCACGACATCACGGTTCAAATGCGATTTGTGGTCATAGAGAGCTCGAACGCGATTTAGGGTTTGAAAGGGTTTTCGAATTGGAATTTTTCTATATTAGAGCTCCTATGCTTTTGATTTACTGGTGTAAGGCGTGATGCTCTATGATGAAATTGATTTGAGTTTTCTATGATTAGGTTTGGTGGTGTTTAATGGAGGTTGACGCGCCACGATGGTGCTCGTGATTTAGGTTGCGCTAATAGAGGAGGCTTGTGTGGTGGCTATCTGTGCAAAGAAGATTATGTGCTGAGGTAGTGGTCGGCGCAAGGAAGCGCGACATGATTCATGGCGACGACGGCCTGCGGGTTTGGAAGTGCGAGGAAGATGATGCGCGAAAATGGTGGCGGCACGCGAACTGGTATCGCGTGGAGGTTGTAGCGGTGGTGGTTCGACGACTTCTACGCGTAACACTACGACAATGCATATGGTGGCGAGGGCAAAAAGTGTCTTTCCTTATATCTTATAATTTCAGAGGCAGTTCAACTGTTTCAATTTTCTTGTATGTGTTAATTCCTTCAACCTTGTATTATGATTTGAGATATAATTCCTGCATCATCTTCCTCTGAAGAAGAAAATAAAAAGATGATCTTATATGAACCAACATCAGAAGTTGAGTCGAAGGCAGAAGCATCAATGAGAACAATTTCTGAAATTAATTCCCAATTTGTATAAACCCTAAAATCAAACTTCCTTTTTTCGAATCCCTAATTCGAACAAAGTATGCAGTTTAATGTTTAATTCAGTTTTTAAAATTTCTTTCATTAAAAAAAAATCAAAAGACACATCAGAATCACATACATCAAATAAGATACTCCACATCATTTGAAAATAAAGACCAGCATGCCACGACAACCATAAATTAACTCTGTTGGGCTCAATTTAACGGTAAGGGTCTCATTGTTGCAATTTTCACAAAATAAGGACCCAATTGAGACGCAAAAAAAAGATGATCAATTTGAGATTTCCATCCAAAAATGGGACATTCCAAATGATTAAATATTTAAAAAGTGTATATTGTACCCATTTGAGTGACTTCGTATTTCTTATTGACATTTTAGAAATTCATTTAAGAGGTGTGAAATAAAAGTTATTTTTAAGCTTTATTCAAACCCACTCATAGAATCAACTTATTTGTTTTTAAGAATATCCTAGTTTAGATTATTGTCTCTTGGATAGAATTTGAATGGAACTTAAAAGTTATTGTGAGAAAACTTCCTTAATATTTTTAGAAGATATATTTGACCTATCATTAAAAAGAGAAAATTTTTTATAAATTTACTTTTAGGACCAATATTAAAACTAAAGAAATAATTAAAAAAATTTATATTGTATTAGTGAAAAATAACAAATGGATTGCCGCATACATTATAAGGATGTTTCCCATAATATTATCGTTGATGCTTGGTTAATAGTGATGGTGCTTATATTGACATCTCATCATAATTAAAATATGACAATGGTTGCTTTTGATCGTCATCATATCTGCTCTACGATCCTAGTGGACTTCATCTAATAGTTTATGAATGCTTAATATAGTTTTAACTAAGCTTTAATGATCAAATATTTTCTAGATAAAATTAAGTTATTAAGAAGTATATTTTAAGGAACACGATATATGTTTAAACTTGATTTTAAGAAACAATGGTGTTTCAGTGGGGTCGAGATTAACTATTTTTAACATCAAAATTCAAATAATCTCCAAACTATCTAACAATTCAAATCTTCTCTAATACTATGTGATATCGTGTAAGTACATGTAAAATTAACTTTGATGTTTAAGTTACTAAATGATTATGGTGTAATAAAAGTCAATTTTTAGTTGAATATAATTATCAATTTTTTTTACTTTAAATTTGTATTTATAGATTTTAAAATAAATTTTTAATTAATACAATCTTAGATCTAATAAATAAAAATATATTACCTGTAAGCATATTTAATTTGCAAATCTAACCAAAACCAATCATTAAGTGACTTACTGATAAATTACTAACTTTTAAGTAAGAATAATCTGATTTTTGACAACTAATTAAGGATGATCCGGTTTCTGAAAACTAATTAAGAAAATGAAGAAATTAACCGTCCGATAACTACTGACCGGTCATTTAATAAAAAAATTGTAAACTAATAAAGGTGATTTATTAATATTTATCCAATGAATATTATCGTGCATATATATTCATTTATCTATATTATTATTAAGAATAATAATAAGATAATAGTCCTACTGTCTGAGGCATACAGCAGCTCGAAGTACAGTTGCCGATATAATAAATGTCAGACAAAAATTGCATAATTTCCATATTCGACCAGGCATTTACTTGACATCATATATTATATCACTCTCGCTATAATATCTAGAACCCCACTTCTCATAATACTTGAACTTCAACAACTTGTAATGTGAATATTGCTTTTTCTTATTCCATAATGGTCCATTGTAGACTAAATTTAAAAAGATAGCCAAGTACACATGCAATTATATTTGAACAATGTTAAATAGAAATTACTTACTCCTTAGACTCACCTCCAGTTCACCATCTAATAATTAAAAAAGGTATATATAAAAGATCTTTACAATTATTAAAAAATTTCACTAAGACGCCATATTTCATTAAAAAATGTTCAATCCGGTCCTTTCCACTCACGCCGTTAAAAACATAACGGTGCAAACGTCACGTCATCATCACCGTCTCCAAACAAATCCTAATTTCTCTCCAAGAAACCCTAGCCGCCGCACCATCCAGCGTCGTCACCACCATCCTTGCCGACAGCCGTCCTTTCCAACACATCACTCGCCACCACCAAAGCGTCTTCTCCCTTTTGTTGCATCTTCATCATCTTCGCATCTCCCCTTCGTTCTGGCGTCACCACCCAACATGATCCCTTTTTATGCCGCGACCACCAATCTTCACCATTTTCACCCTCGCACCAGCCAAATCGTCGTCGCGCTAGCAGCACTGCCGTCAAATCTCTACTACAGAATCGTCCACCACTAACCACCAGCCAAATCGCCAGCTGCTGCAGATTGCAAATCGTCACTCTTCTCCACCACCAATCGCGCCGCTGCTTGCCTCCACCTGCAACCACAATCAAACCTACAAACAAACCGTGGAGACCTAAGGTTTCTCGCGTTCTCGTCACATAGCTTTGGTGGTGGCATGTGATGCGCTGGAGAGGACGACTGCCGGATGATGGCGGTGACGACGCTGGATGGTGCGACGGCTAGGGTTTCTTGGAGAGAAATTAAGGTTTGTCTGGAGATGGCGATGACGACGTAGCAAAGACTTTTTTTTTAAATTAAAAAATCATTTAAGTCCACCTATTAACTTGTGCCACGTACTTATGAGATGCCACAGTGGCATTTGCACCGTTATGGTTTTAACGGCGTGAGCGAAAATGACCAAATTGAACATTTTGTAACAAAATATGGGGTCTTATTGAACTTTTTTAAAAGGTAGGATTACTTTGAACCAAACTCCTAAAAGTAGGAACCAAACGATGTATTAAACCTTAAAAAAATAGTCAAAATTATTTTAAAACTTCCAAATTTTGTATTCAATTTCGATATCATAAACTTTAAAATCTTCAAAATTAGTCTATACTTACTAGTTAAAAGATTATCCTGTTCTTCTAGACTATCCCATTGATTTACATCATTCCCACCTTAGCACAACATATTCACTTCAGATTTGATTGTTAACTCAGACATGTATATTTAATTATAAAGTAGAGATCATTTTTATGTTTGAAGAGTAACTAACTATCTTCTTAACATATTTATAAAAACAAAAATATTTAGTCTGTTCCTGTAGAAATTGCTGTGTCATTACCTTCATTCTACAAGACACAATTCTTTCATTTAATGTACCTACTGTACTATTTTACCATTTTACTACATAAAATTATACATGATTGTTTGGTGCATGATCACGAAATTCAGCTTTCTAAAGCTTTAACTCTTCACCAAACACATACAGCATTCGTTGGTGGGCAACTTTTTAAATGCACCCAAATGGACAGATACACTAACATGTTCATGGAAATAGGCCAACATGTAAGTCCTAATCTACATCTTTTTGGCACTTTTTCCTTGCACTGAAGCTCTATACTCTATTTTTTTCTTCATCTTCTTAACACAAACTAGACACCAAAAAGTGAGGACCCTTCTTGCTCCACAATCTGGCATTGAGTTCAAGTACCCAAAGTGGTTCCAAGCAGGCACACCTCACACCTGTACCACAATACAAGAATGGAAACATCTCTCCATTGGGGAGGGGAAGAAAATGTACACAACTTAGTTATCAAGTTTGAGAGAAGATCTCATTATTTGCACGTGTTTATGATTCTCCCTCCTTGAATTCTTCTGCTTCCTTTGCTTTTTCATATCTAATAATGTTCTGTATGCAAACCTATAATGGAGGATGACACATTGACATTGATTGAAGCTTTCTATCATCACAAGATTGAAGAAATGGCTATTATCATTTATCATTATTGTTATGGTGCATCCTATTTTGCACAGCTTTTACAGCTGCAACTCTGGCTGCATTGGCTGATTTATTAGTTGCTGCCACTACTTTATTCATTCCTTCATCCACCTTTGACATGTTGTAAGTTTTCTCAGCAGCAGAATGTGCATCCTACGCAGAATGACAGAAGAAATACCATGGTTTACTAGATTGCTCACGCAGCTTAAGCAGAAAGACAGGTTGATGAAGTTGGTGAAAAATCAGGTTTCTTCCTGATGTTGTTATTTGATTATCCTTCATAATAACAACCATGAAGAAACAAGGAAAGCAAGTGTTCTTGGTATAAGTAACTATCATATTCATCAACCATAAGTGCAAAATATAACAATACCTGTACTGCATTGGAAACCTTGGCATGGTCCACATCACATGGAGACCCATTAGGACTGTTATGTCTTTTAGGATCATCAAGAATTCCATTCTGCCAATGACCACATTGTGTTTCCCCATTTCTAAAAGTGTACATTCCAAGTCCTTGTCTTCTTCCTTCATGCCATGCCCCCTCATACTGATGACCATTCTGAAATTGATACACTCCAAAACCATGCATCTTGTCTGCAAAATATTCCCCAGCGTATATGTCCCCATTTCTGCAGTACACATAAAATGAGACTGTAAAGACACATTTAAAAGATCCTTCTAGTATTTGTTGAATAAACCAAGACTCTTCCACCACCAGTTTTCTACTGTAATGCATTCAATATACGTGCAGAACTAAAGATACCACAACATTAATGAAAATAACAGCCTTGCACCACCTTCCAATGAGATTGTTCTTTGATCCGTGCTAAAAAATGAGAAGTGGTTAAGAATAGGGAAATTATACATTTCATGAAACGTGGATCAAATTCATTATTGAGTTCAAGTAATTGAGAAGCATTGATATAAGCCTTGTTTGAATAAACTTTTCAGAAGACGCATAAAAGAAGAAAAAAAAAGGTAAAATGAATTAAATTCATCTTATATTTTAAGATTAGTATTTCCATGTATTAAAATTCAGCTTTTGCAGAAGTTAAATGAGAGGGTTTCTATAAACTAACACAAGTGTAAGCTAGTCTTGACTCAATAGAAACTTCATTAATCCAGTTTTACTTCTTTATTTTCATCTCCTATGAAGATTTTAATGAGACCTTTATCCATACAGAAAGCTAAGCTATCCTAGTAACATTAAGGACTGAAATGAATGACACTTTACAACATCATAACTAAAGCATCTGGACAAATTGTAAATTGAAAAACAAAAACACACCTGAAATGGTACTGTCCGTGTCCATGTTTGACACCCCATTTGAACTCCCCAACATAGCGGCTCCCATCATAGCAAGTGTGGTCTCCAAACCCATGACACTGCCCATTAGACCACTCACCACCATACACATCACCATTGTAGAACCTGTAGATCCCCATTCCATGCCTCAAACCCTTCTTATACTGCCCTCTATACCTGCTGCCCCTTGCCCATGTCTCAACACCATACCCATCATACTTCCCATCAACCCAATCCCCCTCATACCTCCCACTCATGTGATAGTGATAAACCCCACTCCCCCAACACTTCCCCTTCTGGAATTCACCCTCGTACACATCCCCATTGCTGTGAACTTGCACCCAACACCCCGAACTCGTGCTCTTCATTTGCTTAGGATTGGACCCAATAGACCACACCACAGGGTGAGTAGAAGGGGAGGAGGAAGAAGTAGAAGATGACGATGATGATGATGATGATAATTTGGCGGGGAACAGTCGAGTGAAGAGCAACAGTCCCAGATTGAGGGAAATCAACAGCGCTGCTGAGAAAGCAATCACGAAAAAGAAATCGAAAGGTTCAGCGTTTGAAAAGAGAAAGTAGAGGGAGGGGAGGGGGAGGAAGATGAGGAAACGGAAGCGAGGGAGAAGGTTCGAAGTTCGAAACTTTGCGCCAAAGGGTGTCGGAAAGTGATGGCAGGGGAGGGTGATGACGGGTATTCTCTTGCGGGGCGAGGCTTGAGATGGGTGGTCGGATAAGCGTTCATTGTGACATGGAGTGTTTGGTGAGTTTGGTGGCAGTGGATGAATTGAGAAACGGCTTCGGGTCGGGTTTTGGTGAATTGGGATTGAAGTGGCATCCTCAGAAGAGAGGTGAGAGTCCTCTTCTCCGATGTGAAGTTGGAGGTTGTGGTGGTGATGCATTAACACAGAAAGTGACACTATGACAGTGTTGTGTGAATATATGTATGTATGTGTGTAAGAAATTCAGTGATTGTGATTATGGTTGTGTTTTTGTTGATTCTGGGTTTGGTTTATTTGGTTGGAATGAGAGGGAAACAAATGAGTGAAAGTGCAGTGTGTGATTGTTTAGGAACGAATGCAACCAGTAATACCAATGGGATGGGAGCAGAAGAGGAATTTTGAAAGGCGTCCGTGTGAAAGAACAGAGACCTGGGTGTTGTGTGAATTTTCTAAATTGCCACTTGAAGTATAATCTCTCTTTTTATTTTAGTACAAATTGTTTTTTCTAATTTTATAAATAAAAAATATTATTTTATTGTAAATTTTGTGTATATATATGTGTGTGATTGTGGTTATATTATATTTTAATTTACTTATAGATTATAAAAAGATTTATCTTTATAAACAATTATGTGAGTAATTTTATTTCATTTTAAATCATTTTTTAATTTTAAATATAGAACTTATATTTCCAAAGAACTCTTATCAATATTTTTAATTCACTTATTTATTTGAATTTAGATTTGAAGGAAATCACTTTGTATTTTATTTCATTTATATGTATCATCATAATTTCAGAATATGAAATAATAAAAAAATTATAAAGAAAATTAAAAATATTTACAAGAATATATCATATCTATTATAACATTTCAATTTTTAGTTTACTAAAATCTATAATCAACATAAATTACACAATTTAAATTTAAATTTTATTTTTATTTTTATTTTATTGGACATCTTAATTATAAATTGATTTTATTGAAAAAAAAATCCTAAATTATTATCTCAAAAGTTCTTCTAGTTTATCTCTATCAACATTTGTATTATTATCTGTTTTCATATAAAAACGATATTATCAAATGTAGATCATCAAATCAAATAAAATAAGAGTGAACTAATATACAAATAATTAATCTTACCATCACAATTTATAATTAAATAATATAAAAATCACGTCAAGATACTCAATCAACCTTCTAATCCAACCTATGATCATATTATAGTTCAAAACAAAACAACATTACAACTACTCGTAATTTCATACCCTAATTCAACATACAAATGGTTTCAATGCAAAGTATACATTCATACAAAGCTACTTAATAAATTACTTTCACACTGGCAGAGAGCAGCTCATCACAGCGACTCGCTATGCGAAACTATTCGCATAGCGAGTCTGCATAATCTGCAGAACGAAATTCTGCAGATTTATGCAACTCAACCACAACATACCAATTCTAACCATTTCTCCCAACTTCTAACACTCATAGATAATACCTAATTAAACTTGTCTAAGTGATCCTAAACATGCCTACCACCAATCTAAAGTGATTATGAACCAACTCATACTCTAAAACATTCAATTCCTCAACTTAAAGACCCAAATTAAATTCTACCACTTTGCACAGGTTTTAGACCATTTAAAAGACCCACAAAAGTTACAAATGACTTACCTATACTGCCTAAAGAGACCAAACAAGCCTCTTACCTCAAATTCTCAAATTCACTACCTCACTTCCTCTAAAAGGACTTGAAACACTACCAATTCACTTAACTTTCTATCTAATCAATATTATAACAGAATACAATCATCTAACATACTCAATTACAGTTGCACATCACATCTAATCAATTCACAAACAACATTTTACAGTTTCATCAATAAATATTCAAAGAATACGTGATTTAATCTACACAAGAACTACATTTCAGCTCAAACAGTAACAAAGTGCAGAATTCAGTACACACACCTATCAGACTACCAATTTAAACATAAATCTAACTCCCCTTACGTCAGAGATTCACAGCAGAGCTCACCGGATCACCTCTACAGTACCTTGCACCGCAAGGAAACTCAACAGGACCCTACAAATCACCAATTGGTGATCAAGAACAGCTCTTAGAGCTAGAATTGGACAGGGAATGGACGAGAAAACGCACAAGACACATGCAACCAGCAGAGATTGCATGGTTTATGTTCAAAAACAGCGTAGAAAAAGGGAAGAACAACTTACCCGCTAGAATTGAGAAATTGATCGGTCAGTTATGAAGCCCTCTACGCTGTGGACATCTGGGCACCTCCTGATCGTCAATCCAACAATTTAGTAAGAAGGAAAGCTATAGAGAAGTTTGAGAACGAGTAGAGAACGGAAGTTTTAGAGAGATGAAGTGTTTAAGATAATGAACCGAGCTTTAGAAAGTTCTATCTATATTATAAGATTATTTTTAAAGTAAAAAAGTTCGTCTCATTATTTAAATACACCTATCTACTCTAATACTCTATTTTCTAGGTTTTTACAAATGTGATGGATTAGACAATGAATTTCCATTAGCAAAATTATAAATCCAACAAAACTTAGAAAAGACATTAGGCCATGTTCATTCTATATATGATCTCCTTGGTATAATTTCATTGGCAAAAGAAATAAACTACCTGCATGTCTTGCTACTGTAGCCCTTAAAATAGCTGAGGACCTTAATCTTTCATAACAAATTATGAAATAAGGAATGACATAATAGTCTTACAAACATCATTCTATACGTAAAATAAAGATTGTTTCACTCAAAGAATGAGTTATATAAAGAGTATTAAAACTATTAATTATAAAGTTAATTCACGAAAAATAGTAAGTAGCTTAATATAAAATATTAAAGAAATATAAAAAGTTAAAAACCGGAAAATATTTATAAGAATATTTACCTACTCTATATTTTATAGATTTTAGATTCCTATGTCCACTCTAATATCAGTATTGCTTATTGATTAGTTACGTCTTCCTTTTTTATTAATTAATGAGTAAAATATGAAAATAGTAACTTAGTTTCGTGTATTAGTGAACCAGCTACATAGAAAAAAATTGCATGGATCAAATTTCAATCTTATCGCCATTTTTAGTGACTTTTATATTGTGAAGTTGTGGTCAACTCTTTTTAAATATAAGCATAACCTACTTATCTCACCATATATTCAGAGTCACGACTTCTTTATGTAAGTAATTTTAATTTAAAATCTATAATTTTTCATGTGTGATTAACATGTTTCATTTTAAGACTAATCAATCAAATGTTTCACCTATATTTGCCAAAACGCCACTCTTCTCTTTACTTTTCATTTACAAATCAAGACTCAATTTATTTTTCTTTTGATTAATCTTACTTTTATAACATGTATTTATGTATATTTGAAATGATATAGAATACAAAAAATCTACTCTTTGGATTTTATCATTGTAAAACTAATTACTCATTTAAATATTTTATTCCACACTGTTTGTTTGATTATGCTTTTAGTTTGATCTGCAAATTGTGAATTACAATAATGTTATCCTCTTGAACAAAACGACAGAATCAAGGTCATTTGACAAAGACGCCATACCCTTTTAAATTTGTTCATGTGGAACCCTTGTAGTTTCATAATTTAGCTTAAACAATAGAATTGCTTTCATTCCATTTTTTTCTTCTCATAATAAAGTTGACTTTTATTAATGTAGTTGTTTAACGTGGAAGCAAATGATACTTTTGACATGATTTTAGAGTAAAAATACTTTATGTTTGTTAACCACATGCTTAAGCTTCACACCCATTTTTTTTTTGTTTTCTAGCTTGTGTAATTTTTGTGGGTGTTATTGGTATAATCAATTTGAAATTGTCTATTCAATCTGATTTGAAATAGACAGCATTCTTAGATATGAGCCTTTTCGATAAATTTTACATATTTTGAAGTAACACCATAGAAAACGAATTATGACAATGAAACTTCATTTGATTTAATTTCTTTTCCATATTGGAAAAACAATTCGTATTTAGAACCAAATAACGGGTTTTGGCTAATTACAATTGCTATTGTAAATTACATTCACTTTAATAACAGTAAAGTTTAAACAACAACCTAATTTAAAAAATGGGAAACTTTATACAAGTAACTAAATTTATACCAAGCTTTCTATGTCAGCAGGATTCTACAAAGAAATAAAAGAAACTTTTATATTAAGAATATACAGTGTCATGTATACAGTGTCATCAACAAAATAGAGTAATCAAGACGTTCCATATCTTCCCGTAAATGAAAACTTCTGCTGCATAATGCAGGTGAGAACTGATTCATCAAGTTGGTTTCTGACTAACTCTGGCTGGATTTAGGGAATTATCACTTACATCAGCTTCATTCAGTTGTCTACCAGTAGGAAATAAGAAAATAGCTTTGAAGTCCGCATAACATATAGTGACCATCATGCACGAAACTCCCCAAGTCCAAAAACATTAGGAGCATTGGATCAGAAAACAATACGTAACTGTTTAATGCAAAGAAAGTCAAACAATATATTAACATTACAATATAATCCATAAAACAAACACCAAAACAATTAATTGCTTCAATATCTGAATACAACATGGGAACGCCAGAATTATTGAGCATATGCAAATAGTGGCCATCATCAAAGGCCCAGACGAAGTTACTACACATAAGATCACTCCATGTTAGTTAATTCACTATTACGTGGATCAAACTCAACGCAGAAGAAAGTGCATTCCAAATGGTGACATGCGGCTAAAATATGCAACAGATGTTCAGTCAGAACTGGAGTTCTCAGTTGATTTAGATTGTTTATCAAAAGACTCTCTACCTACCCCGTTATCTAAAGAAAAATAACCTTCAAAATATAATTACTTGCAGCTTAATTGATACATGAATCATCACTTGAATCTAATTTACATACACATAGTAAGGAGAAAAACCATCTGAATCTCCCTCTTAGCCATCTAATTTATAATCCCTCCACACTTCCAACTATTACCACTGAACCAATTTTCGAACCACTTTGTAACTCATTCTATGACTTCCTGGAACCTATCAGAAATCAGAAATATTATAAAAGAACTTTTACATAATGGACGGATTATTTGCTAATTGCCACAAATATATATATTAAGTGTTATTCATATTATTTAGAGAGACCAATCCAAAGTTAAATATCAGAGTCACCTTTCTCTCAATGAGTAAAGATAATGCAGAGTTTTAATTCAAATAAAAATTAGAATATGCAAAAACAGATTATCAATTCTAAATGCAGTGTGGAACAAATTTAGGCTTATCTATGGAAGACAGTGACAAAGATCAGTTAGTTACTTATTATGCCACAGAAAAGAGCGTTTAGTTCATGTTGAGAAATTATTACTCAACTGATCTTAAATTGTTCGGCCAAATTGCTCTATGGAGTTCCTCAATCAGGGCAATTTGGGTGTGGCATGTCCCTAGATTATTTTTTATTATTAGCCTTCATGGTTTTGGTAGAATAACAAACTAACCATTTTGTGGCAATGAACAACCTATCCTGCTTCGATAGTATTGGGGCCAAACTCTGACATATTTAAGGATTCATTGGCACAGCACTGGATTTAGAAATTTGGCCTTCTTAACAGGAGTTTGCTGAAAAACATGGAGGTACAACGGCACATGAATTTCATCAGAGACCTTCTTTAATCAATACCGACCCATTTCCTAAATTCCTGAACATGCTCAAGCCGTTTGCTTTGTGCTTCTGTTCTTGTATTTGATACTTTTAAACTCCTATAAAGATTTTTATGAAGTCTAAGGAACTCAATTTTGTAAATCCACTTGTCAGCATACATGTTATGGTCTCTCATATGGCTAATGACCTCCATCACTCTCTCAAAGTAACCACCTCGAAGAAAGTTTAGCAATAGTAACTCATAGAGATCTCTGTTTCCCACTAAATTGTCACTCTTCATGAATCTCTTAATGTCTCCCCACAAGATTGTGATCTCACGATACATACCAAGAGAAGAATATCCACACATTAAAAAAGAAAAAGTTTGACTTGTGGGCTGAACATTCATGCTAAGCATTCTTCTATATGCCTTTAATGCATCCTCTATCATTCTGGCCTTGCAGAAAAAGAAAATGGAAGAATTGAAGTTATACACCAAAGGAAAAATTGTCTGATCTTCATCTTCCAATATTTGAGCTAAGGCAATGGCCAAATCTGTTTTACCAGGTGAATTTAAAGTTTTTTCACAGAGGTTGTGTTTGCCCGTAGCATCATCAGATAACCCTTTGTTCAACAAACCAACCTTTTTCATTTGTTTTAGTAGTGCCTTTGCTTCTCTTTGCAATCCCCGCTTCTGGTATGCCGACACAATTAACAGATACATATCCTGACCCATTGGAGAACCAGTAACCTCTATATCATCCAAAATGTCATGAGCACACTCAAGCCATCCTAATTGAATACAAGAACTGATTACATCAAAACACAAACTGGAGCCTGCCACTGAACATAATTCCCCTTGAATAGTAAGTAAGAGTTTTGAAAGTTCACCAATCCTCCCATCTTTCTTGTAACCACTGATAAACTTAGCCAAAGCTCTATTACTAAGAACTAGTTTCCCACCCCTATAGAAGATTAAAACCTGTCTGCTTTCAACTTTAAGGACAAAATCCTTACACATTTGCTCAGGTTCAATGTGTATCTTCAATGCACTCCTAAGGTTAGGAGATCCAATGGAAATAAAACAAGGATTCTGCAAGTGTTTCCCATATTCTTTCTTAACATTACAATTATGCGAGCTAGTCATATCCAGAACAAGCTTAGCTGCAGCAGCAATGTCATTAAATTTGAAGTGCAAGCTCAGCAAACTATCATAGAACTGACAATAGTGACAAACATAAGCAGCCGAAACTCTGTCAATATGATCTTTCAATTCCTGCATTTCATCTCTCAGACCATTCATCTCTAGAATCTGTGAAATTATTACAATGGAGTGTGCGTCAGCCACGGTCCCAGTCAGCGACATTAGTTCAATCAGTCTCAGGCCTTTTAAAGACAATTTAAACTTCACACAAGCATCAAGAACAAGGTTAAAGACCAAGGTATCCAGCTTGACTGTGACTGCATGGTGAACCTTCTTATCATTCAAGCAGTAAAGATCACAAACTTGAAACAGATAATTGGATGAAAGATGTGTTCCAATTTCTGACTTCACAATATGAAAAACAACCAAGGACAATAAATGCATAGAGGGCACACACCCTTTGTCAAGCATCAACCAAAGTATCACTAAGGCAGGGGATGGCATTTGCAACCTAGCAAGGGAGAGTGCAAGTTTGGTTAAGGTATCATCATGAAGTAAACCAGACTTCTCTCTAACAATCTGCAACACCAAATCACAAGCTTTTCGCATCCAAACATGATTGGAAGAATAGGACAATTGAACAATGAGTTGGTTCAATAGATGAACCTCAGGGTAACCATAAAGGCTTCTAAAATCCTGAAAGGACTCCCATGCTTCATGCACCTGATGATTCCTCAAAGCAAACTTAAGCTTTCCCAATAGAATATCTTTGGTGGAACGTTCCCATGATAATCTTTCACTGTTCCCAGAAGTGGAAAATTTTTGCAGAAATGGACTGAGCTGCTCAAAGCAGACATGTCCTTGCAAAATCTTGCCTAAACGAAAAACCTTTCTGAAAAAGTGGTTACGAATAGGGCTGTCAAAACAGGCCAGCCCAGCCTGATTGACCCAGCCCACTTTGGCCCACCTCCTCAATGGACTGGCTCAACCCAGCCCACCTGAAAAATAAAAAGAATAATTTAGACCAGCCCCACCGGCCCACTTAAATTTAAAAAAATTGAAGGAATACCAATCTAAAATGGAAATTGTCAATGACTACAAAATGAAAACTCCAAATATCATATGCTGAATCAGAATACAAAGCAATGACTACTTTAACTTCTAAGTTGCTATGACTTAGACAAATCCTACTTGCTTTATCCGTGAACATGTACAATCTGAATTCATTAAATTAGAACATATAAAATCACAATATCCATCTCAGCCACTGATAGAAATTTCACCAAAACTGGAACATGTTGTGGGTGAATAACTCAACATAATAACTCCATGTTCTATCCGTGAATATATACAATCTGAACTCATTAAATTCGAACAAATAAAAATAAAAATATCAACCTCAGCCAGTGATAGAAATTTCACCAAAATTAGAACATGTTTCGGGAGAATAACTCAAACTAATAACACCGATATGCTTTATCCGTGAACATGTACAATCTAAATTCATTAGATTGGAATATAAAATCACAATATCAATCTCAGTCACTGAAATAAATTTCACTACAATTAATCTGTAATAACAACAAAAACAAAGTACCTTCAAGGAAAATCTTGCTCTCACTGTTACGGGAGGAGAAGAGGCGGCGGCGGTTGCGGTATGAAGAAATCCCGTTGAGTCGCCGGAAATCTGGTCGATTAGCGTATAGGAGGCAGGCTCCTCGCGGAGGAGGCCCGTCGCGTCGCGGAGGCGTGCGGCGGCGGAGGGCTAGTATTGTTTACTGGGAGGAGAGTGTGTGTGCACAGGTGCTTAATAATGATACCTGTGTGTGCTGCCAAGTGAGAACCTAAACACTTTAAGAGTTTCAATATCTCAGATTTAATTTTTTTATGTCAAAATTATAAGTTTAATGTGAATATATATATATATATATATATATATATATATATATATATATCAATTTATAAAAAATATATATATTTTATTATAAACTTTTTTTTTACCTTAAATTAAATAGAAATATTTTTAAAACTGCATTACTACCTATAAAACGTCTTCTTTTGTATTATTATTATTATCTAAAATAATAACTTTGTTACGCCTTAAATTTGATTTTTTTATAATTTTTTTATTAATGTGAATTCATTAATATGAAAGCACTGTTACCCTGTCATCAAATGTTTTTGAAAGAAATAAAAAAATTCCTAAATGTTTCCACATTTAATTTTTTTTGTTAATAACATAAATAATTTGTATTTTTATAGATAGTAGTTACATAATTTAAGCGTATTTATATTCTAAGACCTGAAAATAGAGTATTATAGAGTAGGTGTGTTAAAATAATGAGACAAATTATTTTAATTAAAATTAATCTTATAATATAAATAGAATTTTATAAACATTTTTCCTTATTCTAATAACACTTCATCTCTCTAGAACTCTATTCCTCAGAGTTCTCTGACTTCTCTCTATAATCTTTCTCTGCTGAGTTTTCTGTTTGACGATCAGGAGGTGCCTAGGCGATCCTGACGTTGAGCGCTTCGTTTTGGACCGATCAATTTAGTGTTCTTCAGCTAGTAAGTGGTTTCCATTGTTGTCCGTTTTATGTGGATTGTGAACATGCACTGTTCCGTTTTGCATGTGGTTAAAATTTTTTTTCCATTTTCTAGCTCAATTTAGGTTCTAAGTATTGTTCTCTATCACCAATTGGTGAGTTGTAGGTTTCTGTTGAGTTCCCTTGTAGTGCAAGGTATGACTGGTGTATCTGTGAGCTGAATTATTTGTCTCCAAGGTATGGGAAGCTAGAAACTTTATCTCAATTGGTTATATGATATGTGTGTATGATAAATTCTGAATTAGTATGCTGTTTTGTGTCACTGGTTGAATTCTGAGTAAATTAAATAGTATGTACTGTAATATGGAGTGTATGAAATTGTAATGTGTTGTTGATGAATTGTTTTGGATGAATCTAAGTGCTGTAATTGTGTATGTTGTAGGTAGTTAATGTGAGTACTCTGTTGTGGTAGTGATGAGGTATGAAGTGAAGTGGTTTGAGCTTGTTTAGAGTCAATTTAGAGGAAGTGAGGTAGTGAATTTGAGTATTAGAGGTCAAGTGTTGTTAGAGGCTGCTGGGGTAGTTTAGACAGGTCATTTGTGACTTGTTTGAGTCATCAAACTGGTTAAAATCAGGTTCAAAGTGGTAAATTAGGATTTGGGTCTCTAAGTTAATGAAATTGAGGTTTTTGAGTAGCATTTGATGCATAAACACTTTAGATTGAGGATAGGTAGGTCTAAAATCACTTAGTCAAGTCTAATTAAGCATATACAACGAATTAGGAGTGTTAGAAGTTGGGAAAGTTGAGTGGAATTGGTGAGGATTGGTTGAGTTGCATAATTCTACAGAATTTTGTTCTACAGAATTTCGTTCTGCAGATTATGCAGACTCGCTGTGGGAATGGATTTGCATAGCGAGTCACCTTGGCGAGGTGCTATCTGCCAAGGCACTCGCATAGCGATGAGGGCGCTGTGCGAGTGGATTGAGAGGGTTGCTCTCTGTTTGTCAATCCGCATAGCGAATCAAATCGCTATGCGATTGGTTGGGGTCTAGAACCATTATTCTTTTTATTCGAAAAGCGAGTGCGTCTCGCTCTGCGAGTGTTTAGGAAGTCTGAGTCTTTGTCTGAGGTTCTCGCATAGCGAGTTGGGACACTATGCGAGGGGTTGGGGTCTGATACATTTCACATTTTATTCGCATAGCGAGTGTAATTGCTATGCGAGAAGTTAAGAGGAGTTGGTCTTTGTCTAAGGATTTCGCAAGGCGAGTTAGGTCGCTGTGTGAGAAGCTTATGGCTTCACTATGCGAAGGTGTGCGCTGTGCGAGGGGTTCAGTTCTAGTTCAATTCCCTTGGGATCTTAAGTTGTTTTAAATGAACATTAAGTGTTGTATGAAGTAAGTTGAAGTTGTATCATGTAATATTCGTGGTTATTGATGTATGTTATATTCAAAAGTGTAAAGTTCAAGTGTGGTTAATGGACGTAATTCCATGATCCTCAAGGAGAGGAGACATGGTGGTGCACTATGTTGTGATTCAAAGTGAAATCTCTAGTTGAGATTCAAGTAAGTTTAAAATGGATGCAGGAGCTTAGTCTTGGGGGTTATCCTGAAACTCCAATGGTCTCTCATTCCCAAGTAGAGATGATTGATCCATGTCGTGAGGAGTAGTAGGATGTCCTAGTCTTGGGTGCTTCCAATATGGCCCAAGGTGAGTGATAACGGACTAACCTCGTGAGTGTGGTAGGGTGAAACCCATTGGCAATGGCTTTGCAAAGCAGTAGAAGCCACCACGAGTGCACGACCGCCATAGCTCGTCAATCATTCTAAGTCCGGACAGTCAAAGTTAGTGTGGTGTTATGTGTAAAGGGTTTAAGTGATGTGAATGAATAATATGTTTGTATGAAGTTAAATAAATTGATGTATGATTAATCTTTGTTTAAACTAGCTTACCCTGTTGTGTGCTTGTATTTTGTATGTTCTGTTGTTTTTCTTCTGCAATGACCATCCTTTGAATGTGAGCAGCGAAAGAAGAGGTCTCTCTGGAACAAATATTGGATGAAGGTGATGCTGCTGAGTAGTTGACTTAGTTAGTAGGGACCTTGTGTATAGTTTTGAGTTTTCTTTAGGTTATATATATATATATATATATATATATATATATATATATATATATATATAAAGTTTAAATTTATAGTTGTTTTTGGATGGCTGTAAAAGTAACATTTTATACTCTAGATGGATAACTGTATTATTTAGTATACATGTAGCTTCTCTTTAATACAGTGTATACTATATATTTTGGGATGTTACATATATGATGTATAATTAAAATAAAATATAAACAAAAATGCAAAATATATACAAACGCATATAAACACGTGGATTTAGAAATTAAGTATATACATATGCATTAAAGAAAGTATAATTTATTATCCACAACATATAAAAAGAATTATGCTTAATCACGAAACTATCACGGATAAAGATGCAAATATTATCTTCTGAATAGGTAAAGTTTACAAAATATTATTAACACATAAATCAATCATAGTTTTTGCATTACCAAATAAATCATAACATTAAATATTTTCCACTTGAGATTAATATTTGATTTCTGATTAAGATATGTTTGGATATTAACTTGTCTCAGTATAATTACAACAATCCTTTGTAGAGTTCCTTCTTTATATGATGCAAAATAATTTTCATTGATTTTTCATCATATGATACTTTCACTTGAGTTAGATTATTAATAAAAATAAATACTAATATTATGTGAGATTAACACCTAGATAACTGTCACTCTGAAAATACATGTAATCTCATGGCATTCACTTTCCATAACCATATATATATGCATATCATCCACCAAGCACTGATATAAAAATATGACATTATAATTCAATTATGCAACAATTAGAAGAAACCTTAAAAATAAGTTCTAACAAATGGAACACAACGGGACCACAATGCTCAAAGCGTTTTATTTTAGATACATAATTATTTTTGTGAGAGAAAAGTTCAAAATCCATAATTTTGATTAAGTGTTAATAATAACAAAATATAAAATATATTCATGGGATGAAAGTATTTGTTTAATCATTAGGCGTATCAAAGTGAACCAATTCAGTTCACACAGATTGACTTATTATGAATTGAGTTAAAAAGTTATTAACTTAATCCAACTTATTTTTAAGTGAGTTATAAATTTTTTAACCTATATCAACTAACGATATTGATGAGTTAATGAGTTACTCATTTACAAATATTTTGTTTTTGCAATTTGTATCGTTAGGTCAGATGATCAACTATAGACAAGTGGTCGGACGGTCAACTATCATTGATAGGCCAAACGGTCCAAGAAACAAGAAATTATCACTAACACTAATTAACTTAGAGTAAAGTGTGATTATCAACAATTGGATTACAATT